ATCACCACGTCTAATCCCGTCACGTGTGATGATGGATTCAGGATGGAATCCGAAACGTCAGGCCAATAAAACTCTTGCCCCGGTGACCACATCCGCTTCATTTGAAGTCCCGTTGTAGTTAACAGTGCCGTCGTCTTTCCCTGTTTGATTGACGTCTAGTCGGCCAAGTTGGTCCCTACTACTTTTGCCTGCAGTTTGCATAACAATTTTGATGAGCTCCATAGTCCATAGTCGGTTTCTCCCAAGTAACCGAGAAGGTCGCTGCAAAACGTCCTTTGATCTTTCTTCATTTTACTAATTGCTACTCCTAGACTCTCCTTCGGTCCAATTAATTACGCCTAGACCTTGATGTTCACTCAGTCGCATCTGCTCTAGCAAAATGCAGTGCCGAGGATGTCCAACTCCACACGACAGACGAGTTTGTGGATGTTTGGCTTCAGTTGTTCGACGTCTGCCTAGAAGGTACTTCTTTCTTCGTCAAACATACTTAGCAACAACAGAAAGGGCAACGTATGGTTTCACGCATGGTTTAGAGTTTTCTGGGGAATGCCATATCTTCCGCAGTAAGTGCAACACTGTGGACGCACTATGGAGCTTATGCGCTCTCTGCGGGCACATAAGATCAATTTGAATGGCCCCTCATCAGGCTTCTATCAACCAATCATCAGAAAAAAAAACAGAGGTTGAAAAAAAACGGAAAACAACAGTTAGGACGGCCTAACAACAGCCTCAGCAAGCAGCAGATTGCAAGCCATAGCCGCGTCCACAATCGGCTATCGATCGGCCTGTGCGCGAGCTAACACATCGAGCTAGATAATTAATCGGTAATTCGAATTTCTAGCTACATTCACTCACTGAGACAACAGCCAATGGGACCAACCACTATTTCAGGAGAGAATCTGATTGGCTCAAGGGACATCGTTTACACACGTTTGTTTCCTAAATACGTTCTATCTTGAACACTCAAAGACTTCTGATTTCTGCACACTTCTTGTTGTGTTCTCTCTTTGAGGGCTCAAATGAGGCGTAGTTAGACGGCGACTATTTTGGTCTGGGCTCCGCTACAACAATTTGGCGACGCATTGCGCGGTGATATCTCGGCCTAGGCCTCCGTTACAGCAACAACATAAGTCAACAACCGGAGAAAGGCTTGAAATCCAGTAAGTCAAAGTCCCTATCATTGAGAGATCCACGAAAGCGGTAGGTGTGATCGAGTCTAGGAGTAATTCTCGGAAAAATATGAAAAAACCCTGTTCTGTCCAAAATCCCTTAAATAAACATCGATTTTTGCCGGAGCAAGGTTAAAGTCACGTGGAAATTGTGGTGGCGGATAGAACCTCCTGCAATTATTGCAACACTGTGGGCGCGCTATGGAGTTTATGCGTTGTCTGCGGTCAAAAAAGATCAAGTTGAAAGGCCCAACATCAGGCTTCTGTCGGCCAATTATCAAATATTACGGGATAAAAGGATTAGCTGAACTGAAAGTAATTATCGGGGGAGGTGAGCTTAATATGAGTTGAGTTGTACAATCCCCTTATACATTGACGACGGGTTCGCGTGAAAGTTCGAAACGATGGATAAGTGAAGCAATAGCCCCCAGAGATCACCCTTCCATCTTTTTCTATTTAATGACTTGGACCTCGCATTTTTTCTACTCTTCGGAATCCACAAAATTGACATAGTAGGAAGACTTTCCGAAAGTGAAACGACATTCATTCGAATCTAACGGTTGCAGGAGACACTATTCTACAAAATGAGCATAATAATGCTTTTTCACTAACTCTATTTCCGTAACCAAAGACGATGCATGTAGACAGATAGTGGTGCCAACTTAGGGAAAAACCCACTACGTAAATTCAGATTGCTATTCGAGTGCAATGCAGACATGCAGCTGAAAAGTCGATCAGGCGGAATGCGGCATGCAACCGGCGACCGAGTAGAAAGCAACATGAGTTTCACATTGCCTGCTAATCTGTTTCCCAACTGCACATTAACAATCTTTTTGCATGGGTAATTTATAGAAGAAGTTAAATAAACTTTTAATCGGTTTTGGCAAGTACTGTTGACCTAATAATTGCACCAACAAGAAACAGCAATGTAAGAATGTGGAGTGACGCCCTCACGTTCGGCTTAAGACAAATCATAAAGATGGGCAAAAATTGATTTGTAGGGCCCCTCAAGATATCCATCCCCCAGCCGAACTGGTTAACGTATTTTGTGGTCAAATATTTAATTCTTGGCTAGTGAGCTTAAATTAATATGTAATTGTGGCGGAAGTGATCAAAAAATATTAAATGAAGTAAGGCCTTCCCTACTATGTAGGTTCAAATCCCGCCAAATGACGCGGGTTTTTTCACAATTGGGTCAACTAAAATTAAGCAAATCTGCCAACCTCCCTACTAACTGAAATAAGATTATGTTTGTTTAATATGCTAAAATAGAATAAAATTCGATAAACATAAACTTCTGTTGTACAGGATACGAATGCTAATCGATGGAAATTCGACTTTATGTAGGAGCAATTTAAAGACAATGGAAATTCGTCCTCTTATTGGTGGAATTTAGCGAAAAAAAATTAACGTCAGACTACCGAACATTTAAAAGTAGTTTTTTATTATAAGTCGACGGGATTTTTTGGGGGCCTATAAAATCACGACGCACACTTACGCGATAATGGCCTGCTTTGCAGAACCCCTGGGCCGACAAAGTACACTGTAGTAAACCTTCTCGGTTCGCTCGGCCACGTCTGGCCAAGTGTAGAACTGGTTCACTTCAAAATGTTGTTGCCAGGCCTGTGTGCGCGCGGAAGCTGGTGGCCATAAAGGGGACTTCG